CCATGCCCCACACTACACCAAAAACTGTCGTGCTTTGGGAAAAAAATTCCCTTAAGGGAACAATTTTGTTCTGTTCTTAGATGCTATAAGCATTACTATTAGGTTAATACTTTTCTAATACTAATGCCAAAGTATTAAATTAATTTTTTAACTCTAATAAAAAAGTACTAGCGTTTTCTTAACACTAATTCTAAGTCAGTACCCCTACTTTTAGGATTTGATATGCGTCGGAAATTTTTTTACAGTGCAGATAATGATAGACATGTCTATATGATTGTCTTTTGACCCTTATTGGCTATGATAGACGTGGTGATAGCTCTCGCTTACGATTCAAGTGGCTCCATCGTGTTTTACGTTTTCCTATAGGCATTTCACGGAATGCTTTGTTTGGGTATTCTGCACGGATATCTCCTTTTTCCAAACGAGACCTTGCACGTGCATCACCACCCAAACAAATATAATGTTGCATTTTGCTGTTATTCTGATGACTCGAGACGGAAACCTTATATGAGTTCAGTGTTGCAGTTTGATATTCATATGATGACATGCATCTACTTTATCAATGTAGAATCAACGGTGTAATAAATTGTTCAATTCATAAAGGGCGTGGGTGGCTATGTAGACGGATTTTCTCTTCATATATACCCATACCCACACACCCGTATCTACATCCATATCTTATGCAACTATGAAAAAAAGCGTAAATAATGCATCTTTTTGATTTTGGGAATTCGATAAACTGTAGACAAGTGTATAAGAACATTCTACTGTTTAGTTCTCAAGTAGCCATTTAAATATCATATGCTTATTAGAAAAGATATTGTAAAAGAAAGTCAGAGAAAATTAGAATACAAGTCTCACAGTGACATCCATATTAACACATCTTTAGTAGAATTTCTACATTGTCTGTGCCATAACATGCTATAACAATGTCCATAAAACCATCTTGATTCAAGTCTGTAACAGCAATTGAATAGGGACGATAGTCATAACCCAATTGATACGATTCTTCGTTTCCAAATGTTCCATTCCCATTTCCGTATAATAAAAGTACAGTGCTTGTGCCAGAATTTGCAATGGCAATATCTAATATGTTATCATTATCGAAATCCGCTATGGTGACTGCACATGGATGAGAACGGTCTCCTGTTGAATACGTTGCTGCAGGAGCGAATGTAGCATTGCCATAACCAAGGAGAATAGCAATATTATCAGTTTTAAAATTGGCCACAACAATATCTGAATGATTGTCATTATTTAAATCCTCAACCGCAACGAAGTACGGACCAGAATCAACTCCAGTGGAATATATCAACATATTATCAAAAAATGCATTGCCAAGTCCAAGAAAAATACCTACATTACTGTTGCCATAATTAGCTACGGCAATATCTAATATATCATCATTGTTAAAATCACCAATGGCAACCGAGTGTGGCTGTGATCCATCACCAGTAGGACCTAATTTTACATTTGCAAAAGGCTTGCTATCATATCCAAGAAACAAGCCTATAGTGTCCGATCCAGGATTAGAAACAACAATATCTAATCGACCATCTTTATTGAAATCACAAATTGCTAATGTATTCGGTTGAGAACCAATGTCTGTTGAATATAAATCTCCCCATAAGAAGGTTCCATCTCCTAATCCAAAATGTACAACAATCTGGTTAGTTCCATAATTGACGACAATAATATCCAATTTGTGATCATTATTAAAATCACCAACATTAACATACATCGGCATGGAACCATCACCAGTTGGATATGTTTTGACATCACCAAAAGATCCATTTCCTTGTCCAAGAAAAATACTTATACTATTATCATGATGATTAGCAGTGACCATATCGATTTCATAATCGTTGTTGAAGTCTCCAAATGCTACCCAATATGGGCGAGTTCCACGACGTGTTGAATAGGTTACTTGTTTTGTAAAGTTTCCATTACCATATCCAAGAAGAATACCAATATTATTAGTATTTGTATTAACAACAGCTATATCTATTCGATTGTCATTGTTGAAATCACCGATTCTGACCGCCGTTGGAAAATAATTATCACCAGTTTGATAAATAAGTATCGTAGAAAAGCTTCCATTACCATATCCATATAAAAAGCCTATATTGTTAGTGCCAATATTAATCACCACTATATCCAATCGACCGTCATCGTTGAAATCAGCAACGGCAACTGAGTACGGCCTAGAACCAATTCCAGTTGGGAAAGTCATCATACCAGCAAAATTACCATTACCATATCCGAGAAAGATACCAACGTTATCAGTGCCGTAATTAGCCACGATTACATCCAATCGACCATCCTTGTTGATATCATCGACAACCAGTGAATACGGAGTTGAACCTATTGTAGTTGAATAATTTAAGAAAACATTGAAACTTCCATTGCCATCTCCAAGAAAAATACCTATATTATTAGTTGTGTAAAAGACAACGGCAACATCTGGATAACTATCATTATTGAAATCACCCACGACGGCTTCACGCGGTCCCAAATTACCAATCGCTTTATATGCTTTTTGCTTGTGAAACGTTGAATAGTTATATCCGATAAGTACCGCTATATTATCTGTGCCTTCATTAGCAATGATCAAATCTAATCGATTATCATTATTGAGATCGCCAAATACGACTGAACACGGATGTGAACCAGCTCCTGTAGAATACAGCGTTGAAACTTTAAAGCTCCCGTTGCCGTATCCCAAATTCACACTGACACTATCACTCCCTGAATTAACAGTAACAATATCAAGATTATTGTCATTATCAATGTCAGCAGTATTGACATACCGCGGAAACAAACCAGTGGAAATCGAGTACATTATTTGTGTATCAAATGTACTATTACCTAAACCAATACGTATCTCTATAGTATTAATACCAGAATTAGCAATGACGATATCTGATCGATTGTCTCTATTGAAATCACCAGCAGCTAGAGAATATGATTGTGGAGCATAACCCATCAAATACATAATTTGTTTTGCAAAGTCTGCAGCATAATATTCAGTTAGTATAGCCACATATCCGTTACCCCAAAGTGTAACAACAATTTCTAATTGCTTATCATTATTAAAATCAGCAATGGCGAAACCGTATGGGTGAGAACCAGTGCCAACAAAATACGTTCGTACAAGTTCGAAATCTCCATTCCCATGTCCAAAAAAGATAACTACTTTGTCATTGCGAAAATATGTCATAGCGATATCGAGTTGATTATCATGATTAAAATCAGCAACAGCAACAAAGTACGGTAAAGACTCAGAACCAGTTGAATAAGTCCTTTGTCTACCAAATGTTCCATTATCAATACCAAATAGAACCCACATATTATTGGCACGTGAGTTAGCAACGACAATATCCAATCGATTATCACTATTGAAATCAGCTAGAGCAATTGAAACAGGTGCCGAATCGTAACCAGTTGAATAGAACATTATTATTCTGAAAATTCTTTTGCTATAAGCAAGAAAAACAACTATACCGTCAGGATTCATAATAGAGACAACAATATCCAGCTGATTGTCATTATTGACGTCACCAACAGCGATAGAGTGTGGGAAGGTACCGATACCGGTAGAATATGTGGTCACAGAGGCAAAGCTTCCATTGCCATATCCAAAAAAAACACCTATGCTACTACTGCCTGTATTGGCGGAAATAATATCTACGTGGCTATCATTATCAACATCCCTAACAACGATGAATCTCGGACCCGAACCAACACCTGCAGAATATGTTGTCACAGTGGTGAAGTTTCCATCACCATATCCAAGAAGAACACCTACACTGTCAGAGCCTAAATTGGCAGTGACAATATCTATTCGATTGTCGTTGTTCAAATCGCTAACACAAATATGTTGTGGATATGAATTATTGCCAGTGGAGTATGACATTTCTTTCGCAAAAGTTCCATTGTTATAGTCGAACATTATACGCACACCGCTCCCTTCGTAACCATTAACGACTATATCAAGTTGAGTGTCATTATTAAAATCAGCAATGGCAACTGTGCTCGAATGTGCCGAAGGTTTCACAAGATAGTTCCTTTGTCTTGCAGATGGTCTTATAGAACACCCTACAAGTAAAAGCAACTGATTAGTTTCGTGAGTGATTACAACAATATCTGACTGATTGTCATTGTTAAAGTCAGCTACAGCGGCTGCAAATGGACGAGATCCAGATACAACATCATATGTAGATATTGTAGCAAACGTTCCATTACCATATCCAGGAAAAACATGTATTTGATCATTATTTGAATCAACAATTATAATGTCCAATGCATTATCATTGTTGATATCACCAACTGTAACATGTTGTAAACGAGAATTGGTACCAATTGAGTATGTGATTTGCGGTGTAAAAGTGCCGTTATTATAATTAAGAAATACACCGACGTTGCCAATGCCATAATTGGCAACAACAATATCTAGATTATTGTCATTGTTAAAATCTCCTATTGCAATGGAAATTGGATTTGAGTTCTGATTAGTTGTATAAATTTGTTGACTTGAGAAACTTCCATTACTGTATCCGAATAAAATACCTATATTATTGGTACCATAATTTGCAATAGCAATGTCTAGATGATTGTCTTTGTTGAAATCTCCAACAGCTAATGAACGTGGGCTAGAATCATAGCCAGTGAAATATGATTTTTGATTTTGAAATGATCCATTATCATATCCGAGAAATATACTGACAGAATCAGTGTCATAATTAGCAATTATTATATCTGATTGATTATCATTATTGAAATCTCCAACGTTGATAAACAATGGGCGAGAAGAGCCAGTCGATAATACTTTTGAATTAAAAAAAGTACCGTTACCATATCCAAAAAAGATTTCAATATTATGAGTGCCATAATTAGCAACGGCGATATCAAGACAATTATCATTATTAAAATCACCGACGACGATCGAAGAGGGAAGAGATTGAGCACCAGTCGAATATAATTTGACTCTTGTAGAAGTCGCATTATTATATAAAAGAAATATCACGATCTTGTCTATACCAGAAGTAGCCACGACAACATCCATTTGATGGTCATTGTTGAAATCTCCGACAGCAAGTGATCGTGCTTGTGAATTAGAGGTAATCGAACTTTTACCAATTCGTTTAAATGAGAAATGGCATGTTGTGCCTAAAGTAAAGAATTGAATATCGATTACTCATCTGCGTTCCATTTCAAAATAATTTCCTATACAAATATCTAAAGAGAGTAGATGAGCGAACATCAAATGAATATACAAAAGTAACATATCATTCGAAAGTTCTAGTGACAATGGGACAGAATCATTGTAAACTATACCTAATTTTGAATTTAGAATATATATTAGTAAACGTCATCACAACTATTTCTATTATTTTGTCGGCACCATGTTGATCGTGATAAAATTACAGACATTACATATAACATTCATTTCAAAATCGATAATGATTTACAGCCTTACGGTTCCAAAAAAACAGAACCAAGCCGAAACTGTTGAAGTTGAAAAATTTATTTTCATGATAACTACTCTAGCGAATACATTGACTTGTCCTTTCCCTTCCAATGCTTTCAAGTGCTTTAATATCAAGTAGAACGTGACAAGAGTGTCGCAATAACTAGATTGTAATTACTTTCTGAGTAATTGACTCCTAACATTTAAATACTATTGTATGCTCAGTCAGTTAATTTATGAAAACATTTCCAGCATATGACACTTGGAACAATTCAAATACACGTTTTGAGTATCAGAGCATTAAGATGATTTTCAGTAGAATTCACTATATTGAATTCTAATCTTAATTTGACAGAACAAATAAATAACTCGTTTACTTGAGATAATCACGAAAAAAAAAAGCAACATGAAAATTCCTTGAACAACTATTACTAACTATTTGCAACATTGTCACAAGGTAATCAGTCCCTAGAGCACTTTTCTGGAGTCAGAAAAGGAACCGCAGGATTCTATGACGATTAGGCAATATTTCAACTATTCGAAAATATACAGTCGATATATATCATAGTATATTCTCCTTGCTAGTTGTTTTAATGATCATCAAAATATTTTTCATATTGAAAAAACTAAGTTAATTTTTGTCCAAATTATAGATATATCAACGAGAATCATATCATTATAATATTTGAATTTTACTTGAATAATTAGATTTTTAAAATGTCTTACCTCGGCAAAGTAATTCTTAATTTATTCTAATGATTTATTTAATTTAGAAACTTAAATGATTTCTGTTCCTACATGGAACAATCACGTATTCACTAGATTAGTTTTACTTTTGAATGATTTAATTAAAATTCCCTTTGTTTATTTAAAATTATTTGAAAATTTACATCTGTCCAAGAAACAAATGAGAAGTGTGCTTACTTGCTTTAGGCGAAGTAAAATAAATTGTTAAGACTGCAGTAGTCATTGCTATACTTGTGAGTACGGCAAACATAAAGATCCCTAAAGTAGTTGGTTCGATGCGTAAACAAAAACAAAATCTGTTCCTATCATTAGAAATTGAAATTAGATTAGTTTTATGATAATAAAAAGTATACCGCAGTCTTAAAAGCATAAACAATAGTTCCATTAGTGAACGATCTGCTGATGAAAAGGCCAGAAAATAAAGTTTGAGTCGTGAGAAATAAAATTTTATTTACGATATGAGATGTGAATCGAAAAACCTAAAAATAATTTGATCTATATGAGAAATATTATCAAAAATACAGATTATGTACACATCATGCAATTATGGTATGAAAATCGTGATGTATTAGTTAAGACACACCCTTTGTTTGGTTTTTTTTT